GTTTCAAAGTGCTGGTGCTTACCTTTAAAGCCCTATATGGCCAGGATCCAACATACCTGGGGGACTGCCTTTCCCCATAAGTACCCTCAAGAGCACTTCGGTCGGAGACTCACCATCACCTGTTGATTCCAGGCCCCCGGGAGGCAAGGCTTGCCGCAACGAGGGCCAGATCCTTTTCAGTGGCGGCTCCTACCTGGTGGAATGAGCTCCCGGAGGAGATCAGGGCCCTGCGGGACCTCATACAGCTCCGCAGGGCCTGCAAGACAGAGCTCTTCTGCCAGGCTTTTACGTAGGAGCCGCCACTACCACCACAACCAACGGCGTGGGTAACAACTGGGTAAGACGATGGACCTTGAAGATCTGCCATGATGGGTGGGTACCACTGGACTGGCCGTGTACCAGCTACAGGACACTATCTACCTCCAATGAAAGATCTGGCATTTACTGTTGGAAAACCATCTTGTTTTCTATTGAGCACCTTACTTTTGTGATTTGATGATTTTATTCTGTTTTAATCTTGTTTTATATGTGGGCATTGTTGCCCTCTTGTAAGCCGCCCTGAGCCCGCTCGCGGGGAGGGCAGGGTAAAAATACTAATAAAATAAATAAATAAATAAAGGACAGTTCTGGAAAGAGCTCTCTCGGCTCCGCCTACCTCACAGGGTCTCTGTTGTGGGGCCGCTTGTTTGTAAACCGCTCTGAGACTCCGAGTGAAGGGCGGGGTATAAATCCAATCTCCCCCTCCTTCTCCTCCTCTTCTTCTTGCGCTAACCATTCAGCCGATCTATCCGCATTAACACCACCCTCTGGACTCCCCGGTTGCTCCCGTCCCTTCAACAGACATCCCACTATTTATTTATTCATTTATTAAAACATTTATACCCTGCCTTTCCTCTTGGTTCACGGTGGCTTACAGTAATAGCTAACAACATCCCCAGGCAAAACCAAAGATGAAATCGCAAACCCCAAATCTTCCCTTCCTTCTCCCTTAAAAGATGCCTGCCACTCAAACCTCCACAAAAGCCCTGGCTGACAGGAAGGCCTTGCAGAGCCTCTTGAAGATTTCCAGGGGGGGTCTTCAGAAAGACCATGCCACAGTCTCTGGTCAACTCTCCTGGAGAGGAGACAACAGAGAGGTGATATGATAGCCATCTTCAAGTACTTGAAGGGCATATAGAGGATGGTGTGGAGTTCTTTTCTGTTGCCCCAGAAGGTCGGACAAGAACCAACAGGTTGACATTAAATCAGAAGAGTTTTCGGATAAACATTAGGAAGAACTTCCTGACAGTTAAGAGTGGCTCCTCAGTGGAACAGGCTTCCTCGGGAGGTGGTGGGCTCTCCTTCTTTGGAGGTTTTCAAACAGAGGCTAGATGGCCACCTGAAAGCAATGCTGATTCTGTGAACTCAGGCAGATCATGAGAGGGAGGCTGCAGGAAGGGTTGCCTCAGTGATTAGTTCTTGTGGACCTTTCTTACACACCCAGGGAAATGCCAATCACCACTTTGGGGTCAGGAAGCAATCCTGGAGGTTTCTGGTTTGGTGTGAGAGCCAGTTTGGTGTCATGGTTAAGTGCGCAGACTCTAATCTGGGAGAACCGGGTTTGATTCCCCACTCCTCCACTTGCACCTGGCTAGATGACCATGGGCAAGCCATAGTTCTGATAAGCTCTCTCAGAGCTCTCTCAGCCCCACCTACCTCCCAGGGTGTCTGTTGTGGGGAGGGGAGGGGAAGGGAAAGGAGATTGTAAGCTGCTCTGAGACACCTTTGGGTAGTGAAGGGTGGGGTATAAATCCAATCTCTTCTTCTTTTTCTTCTTGTCAGCTTCTGGGCATGGAACAGCGGTCACTGCGGGTGTGGAGGGGGAGGTATTTGTGAATTTCCTGCATCATGCAGGGGGATGGACTAGATGAGCCACCCTAAGTGGCGGGATAGCCAACAGATGGCTGCCTGACGGCACACAGGGACATAAGGACTTTTTAAAAGAGTTTTTAAAATATATATATATATATATTTCTGTGACAGATGGCAATTCAGCCATCGGGCCTCTCAGTCGAGTCGTTCTCTGGACAGGCTTGAGTCCTTAAGAAATGCAGCACTGCTGAGGTGTAATGGTCAAGGCAGACCCCCGACACCGTGACTGTCTATGTGGTGCAGGGTTTATGTTGTGGATGAATGGACAAAGCAGGCTTAAGCTGGCAGCTAAACACACAGCTACATCTCCTGGCAGGGAGGTGGCAGTAGAAATCAACGTTTTTGGTCATTCCCTCGCTGCCGCTGAGGCTCTCCATGGGAAGGAAGGCTGGACTTCCCCGTTTCCTTCCCAGTCCAACACCTCCTCTCGCCCTGCCTTGTGCCCAAAGCACACTCGTCTGCAAACTGCCCTAATTTTGGTGTTGGGAGCGCAAAGCCTTCCATTTTTACCTCAGCGCTGTTTGGTCAACGCTGGGACCACAGCTTTATTTCGTAATCTCTTGGACGCAGTTTCTCCTCAGTCAGGTATTATCATTTATATGGATTCTAATGGGCTAGAATCTGACTCGCAAGCGACAGGATTATTTAAAGAAAAGAAAACAACAACGGATATGAGTTTATTTACTCCTTCAAAAGGGTTAACATGCTGTCAGGGGGCTGTTTAAATACTACAAACGCAGCCAATGCTCCCTGTAAGCTGTGGAGTCTTGTGAGCAAAAATTCTACTTTGTGAGCGATTGGCATTCAAGTTGTGAGCGAGCAATTTGACTGCTGCGTAAATTATTTTGCTCTGGAGCCATCGTTCCTGAGCTAAGACAAAAATGTGTGAGCCGGAGGCTAAAAAACTGCGAACTAGCTCACACTAACTCAGCTTAGAGGGAACGCTGGAGGCAACATAGCCACGTAGGTTTAGCCTTAAGCAAATAATTCATATTCAAGAGTGGTTACTAATTCCCCTTGAGTACAGAGTAACCTGAAACACTCCAGACTGCATTAAGTGCACTTTCTTTTAATTCCAGTCTCCCTGAGACCGATTTCACACAAGAGCTGCGCCGCGGTCGCGCCTCCCTTTGCCCCGCTTCTATTGGTCAATTTCCCACTCTAAGCCACGTGGCCACATTTTGACCCGTGGCTTCACCCGATTTTCCCCGCGGTTTCGTGAAAAAACAGGATCACAAAACCGCTGGGAAAATCGGGCAAAGCTGTGGGTCAAAATGTGGCTGCGCAGCTTCGAGTGGGAAATTGACCAATAGAAGTGGGGCAAAGGGAGGCGCAACTGCGGCGCAGCTCTTGTGTGAAATCGGTCTGATACTTACCCACCACCCACCATTTTCCAATTCTACCATCAGGAAACCTTTAAATCTGCTCTATCCAGATTCCCAACTGTCTGGCTACACCAAGTCCTTTTCTCTTGGATGCTAACTTCTCGGTGAGTAAGACCACTCGCTCTCACTAGCCCTAATCAAACAGTTTGCTCTACGCCAGAGCCAGACTCCCCTATTCAATGGACCTCCTCAATGCCTGGACCTTAGCTAAGAGAGGGAACAGGCCGTTGAGTCATCCCCCCCCAAACTTTCCCCCACTCAGTTTTCTCCCACTTCATCCCTGCTGACTGGATGCATTAGGCCCAGCTAGGTGACTGCCTAGGCCGCCAGAGGTGAATGGGTCGACCAGGCCCAGAGCTACAGTGGGGCACCTTGGGGCTAGGCCCCCTGACTTACTGGCGAGGCCCCACAACTTCCCATCCAGCCCAGGCCCCCCGAGCGGTGGAGGGTGTGGGGAAGGAGCCACATATTCCTGCGCAGATGTCTGGCACGAAGGGCCGGCTACGGTGGCTACGCAGAGCCAGACAGCACCTCTCTATTTCCCCCAGAAAGTCTATTTCCCCTGGAGAGTACTTGCTGCTGGTGGGCTGTGCTGTGCTGTGCTGTCTGGCGCGAGGGGCTGGCTATGGTGGTGTGAGGGGCCACCACTGCGAAGAGGAGGGGGAACCTTGGTCGAGGCCCAGGGGGCAGAAACTGCAGAGCAGCTCGGGATGGGAGTAGGGTGCCCCCTAAGAAGTTTCAATCCCCCCCCGACTATAAAAATCCTGGCTACGGGCCTGGGGTCGCCTAAACCCAGCCCCATCGATGCTCCAACTGCAGTGTCTCATGGAAAGCCACAGCCAGGGGTGTAGCCAGAAAATGGGGGAGGGATTGGGAAATTTGGGGGGGCGCCCTGGCCACGCCTGCTGTTCCTCTTGCAGCAGCAGCAGAAGAAGAGGAAGAAGAAAAAGAAGAAGAAAAGGAGGAAGAAGAGGAGGAAGAAGAGGAAGAGGAAGAAAAAGAGGAGGAGGAGGAGGAAGAGGAAGAAGAAGAAGAGATTGGATTTATACCCCGCCCTTCACTCGGAGTCTCAGAGCAGCTTACAACCTCCTTTCCCTTCCCCTCCCCACAACAGACACCCTGTGAGGTAGGTGGGGCTGAGAGAGCTCTGAGAGAAACTGCTCTTTCAAGAACAGCTTTGAAAGAACTGTGGCTTGCCCAAGGTCATCCATCAGGTGCGAGTGGAGGAGTGGGGAATCAAACCCAGTTCTCCCAGATTAGAGTCCACGTGCTCTTAACCACTACACCAAACTGGTTCCATCCCCAAGGCTAACGCTAACCTGGTCCTCTGTCCTTACCCTTCGCCATTCACACGTGCACCCCAAGGGACTCATCCTGGAGACACACAGGAGCAGCTTCCTACCGAGCGTTTCCATTTGGCCCGCATCTGAGAGAGAGGGATTGGGGGGGGGGGGGACAGACAACTGGGCATGGATGCCCAGAACTGAGCCAGGCCCTTGAGCCTCTCTGAACCCGTGGTGGCTTTCTACTTACTGCGTGCCCTTTGCCTCCCTTCCCGTTTAAAAAGGCGTGAGAGAATAAGTTGCAGAAAGAGAAGGTCCGCAGATCTGGGCACGGAGAGGTGATCCGCCCTTCTCTTCCCAGCAACTCCAATTTAAGAAAAAACAACAGGTTATCCTGGCTTGACCGATAGCCAATTCTGACCTCGCTCGACGTTTTCGGACCCTGCGCTCGTGGTCGGCTTCCTCATAGTAGAGCTCGTTGTGACTGGAATCTCGGCGGTGAGCAGCGGCGGCAATCATGGCCCGGGACTGACCGGCGGCGTTGTTATCGGGCCCTTCGGGAAGAAGTTGGACAGAGAGATGGATGAGAAAAGGAATGGGGTGTTCCATGTGAACAAGCCCTCGGGGCCAGTTGACTTGCCAATGAACTGCAGGCCCCAAACCCTAACCCTAACCCTAACCCCAAACGCTCAGTCCAAAATGCCCCTTCTCTCAGGAAAAAAGTAAACCCCCATCCCACACAAGAGCCCCTTTGCTGTGAGGCTGAAAGGGACCCTTTTGGTGACGTAAACAGAGGGGAACCTAAGGAAGACAGGGACGCCTGCCTATAAACCCCAGTAACTCATAAGAGTAGAAATAGTAATTCAACACAGTTACAGGGAAGAGCTCCACAAAAGGACATTGGGCGAGCACATGTAAAAAGGGGGCGGGGAGCACACAGACGGAAGAGGTTACTTACCCTCTGCAAAATACATTTTCAGTTTGGCAACAAGGGCGGCTGAGACACGGGGACAAGCCAGCGACGAGACAAAGAAGCAGCACGAAGGGAAGGGGCAGGAAAAACAGGGGAGGGGGAGTCAAGGGGCGGCGGGGGGAGAGACAAGACAGAAGATGACTTCAAGAGACATGAGACAATGACAAAAACCAAGGCTGTGCCACAAGCGACAACGTGAAGTTCCCAATCACAAGTGCTTTTTTTTTTAGACACCCTATTAGGCCCATTTGAACGGCTCTCCCAGAAAAGCAGACCATGGGAAAGGTGCCCTACGCTGAGTATGGCCGCCGCTCCTCTGAATCGGGCCTCTTGGCCCAAACTGGTGCCGAACCCCAGGCCCATAATCCCAGTTCTGTTTTTAATTGAAACTGCCCAGGATGGAACACGGCGTCTTCTCTGCGCAAAGTACACCACATTACAGCCCTGAGTTCCAGTCCCTCCCCAGAAGACGTCCTGGGTCTCCATGTTAAACCCTCAGCGGGGCAAAGCACCCTTCCTCCCTGTCCCCTTGAGGAAATCAGCCCAGGCTTGTAATCAGCAGGGAAAGCAGGAATTCATTAGCATAACAGGCCACACCAAACAGCAGGAACTAATTAGCGTATTAGCT